TGCCAAGCGGGGAAGAGCAGGCAATTGAATGGACATCCTGGGAAAGGAGGAAGTCACGAGCCGGGACCGGGGTGGAGGCGGGCAGTGAGGGGCAGTGTGCGCAGGGTGACAAGGTCAGTGGTTTCCAGCTCCTCGTGGAATGACCAGTGCTGGGCTCTTCACTCCCTTCCCGCTCCCTGCCCCTTCCCCAGCCCTGGTTTGTCTCCGTGCTGCAAGCCACAGCCAGAGGTCCCCGTCCTCCAGACTCTGCTATCTGTCGGTCACCTCTGGGGCTCCGTGTAATCAGTTTTCATTTCCATTTTATGAGTGATAATGTTCACATTCAAAAATGCAAGTAAAGACAAGAAGCAAACTGAATCAGCAGTCAGAGAAAAGCAGTGTCAACATTTTAGTAAACGCTCTGGTACACTGCTGATCCTCAGTGTGTACGTACAGGTGAACAAATGAGCTTGCACTGCCCTTGTGTTTTTGTGATCTGCTTTTAAATATGTTGAGAAATGCAACAAGACTCATTTGGGGCAACTTGGAGGCCCGCAGACACAGGTCCTGTGCAAAGCCCACACGAGCCTATCCACGTCGCAGGGACCGGGCTGGAGCTCCCAGGCTCGTTGCACATCATTCTCCCCAGGTGCAAGGGGGATGGTCATCAGGCTGGTGGGGACGGTCTCATGGCTGAACGCACTGATCTCGACCCCCCTCATTCTGTCTTCCTAGATCCCCGCCCTTTGTCCGGGGCAGAACAGGATGGCCGCGGCCCGGGTGAGTTCCTGATTTCCCCCCTCCCTTGTTTCCAGGGAACTTGAGGCAGCTTTGGGGCACCTATATCGTAACCTTGACACATCGGTCGCTCCCTACTGCCTGGCTGTTTTCCATTCAAGCTGTAATCCACCTCCGGTTCCTCCGATCCTTCCACTCGCCACAAAAACCCAAAATAGAAAACAACAAAAGAGAGAAGGAAAGTGACTGTTCTCATCTACTTCTTCCTCTGGGAAACGCACCTCCTCTTTGTTCTTCTGCTTCTCAGGGAAGCTCATGGAAGCCCATAGACTCGCTTTTTCTGTGTCTTTGCTTCCACCTCACTGTTTGCTTTTTCGTTATATGCAAATAATGAAAGTAATTCCGTGCTTGATGTTCTGTGCACTGAAGAACAGTCACAACATCCCTGTTTCTTCGGCCCCCGGTGCCACGTTTCTCCTCCGAGTGCCCCCTGGAAACAGTGTGGGGATGGTGTGGGGCGGCTGCGTTTCTGTGAGCTTCCTGAGCTGACCACAGGTCCGTAGGCCGTGTGGGTGAGTGTGTGCACAGATGCCGTGCCAGCCCCGCTCCCATCTTGTTTTTCCCGCCTGGTTCTACTCTGCGTGGTGTTGCTCCTCAGTGCAGAAAGAAGATTTCCATTTCCATGCGGTGCTCTGAATGTTTCATTCAACTGTAGCTCTCTTTGTGCATAGTCAGCATTTGGATTTTCTTTTTCTGTTCTGTACGGTGCCTCTCGGACGACTCTTTATGTGTGTGTTCAATAGTGCGGGTATTTAAGGAGGATTCACCTAGAAGTTGGATTTTGGGGTCAAAGGTATTCATACTTGAATTGGCTGTCCCAAATCCTAGACTAATTATGACTCTCCCCAAATGTTAAAGACCAGATAATTTCTGTGTTCAGCTTTTCCAGGCTGTTGAAAGTTGAAAAGGAAACCAGTTGGTTTTATGGAGCCACTTATCTTTAAATTTGATAAAGATACTACAGCAAGTAAGTTATACACCTGATTCACTTGAGACTATGGATGTCAAGATTCTAAACACATAGTCTGAACGGAGTGTTGATATGTTGAGTCGAGCACTGTGAAAAATGATCTGTACGTATGGTAAAAAATTCAAAACAAAAGCTTGTTTAACAAAAGGTGAAAAGTCATTCTCCCCGTCACCCCATGCCCCGTGTCCTTCCTTGTTTCATACGTTCTTGGCGAGATCACGTATGCACGTGTCTTCGCACCTAAGAATGCCATTCACTTTGGAACTCTTCCTTCTTCACATATTCCAGCACATTCTGGACTTCCCCACGACCATTCCGTTTCACTGTGTGTTTGAACCACCCCGGGTTTTTCCACCTGGGCACGCTTGACATTTGGGGCCAGGCAGTGCTGTGTTGTGGAGGGCGGCTGTGTGCCCTGGACGCTATCTAACCGTCCCTGCCCCGGGCTCCCCTGATGCCAGTGTGCCCACCTCGTCCCCCTCGTGGTGACAGTGAAGAGTTTCTCCAGACATTGC